AGTTCAAATTAGTCAAATTATTATTAATTTAGTAAAAAAAATAAATAAATACTTCTCAATTATTTTTAATTATACATGTCTTAAATATCATATTTCTACGTGTATAAACATGTCACCTAATATAATTTGATATTCAAAGGGCATTTAAAATTTTATTTTTATTATTAAATTTTTTAAAAAAATACAAAATCCAAATGAAAACAAATTTTTGCACTGTCGGAAAGGAGGTTCTCATTTTGAGACTACAAAATAATTATACAAATTTTGCAATGAAGCTTTATTCCACCAATATGCCATACCTTCCTCAAGTTCTTAACTTATAAGTTTGACATTTTTTTTAATCTTAAATCCTTAATTTTCTAGTATGCAAATTATGATATGTTGAGACAGTTCAACCGAACAACCGGATAGTTACTGTATAGGTCTCTTTAATATTCTACCTTGGCAGCAGCTGAAGTTTGTACTCATCTCATTTACTCGAGGATGATCCCAACTGCCTTTTAACTGCCTTTTACTGTTTCTCGCTTTCTCTGTTTCTTTTTCCTTATGAAAACTATAATCCCCACCATTAGCATTCCTATGAGTATAGCAGAGCTGACAATGATACCAATCAGCTCCTTTTTGTACTGATCTGAAATATAAAAAGTTATTTTCAGTGGGTATATTCATGAGATAATATGGCAATAACCTAACTGACTAATTCCTTTTCTTGAAACAGATAAATTTTTTGGTAGAAAAGAAAGATTTGGACCAATGAGCCCAGACTCGATTTTACTGTATTCAGTGCTGTGAGTTTCGAGTTTGAATCCTCCCTAGAGCCAAATTGAAAGAATTAGGGGAAAAAAAAAGAGTTTTTTTTTATACCTGATCGTTTTGAAGAGGACATTCTTATATAAATATCTTGACCACCTTCAGTGTAATATCTCATATCAATCAGTTCACCAAACCATAGCACGCAGCCACTGCTTGTTCACCCAACCATAGGGCACGCAGCCACTGGCCTTCTTCCAATGAATGGTTTGAATTTTTGCATATGCAGTGGGGCAAAGACAGTTTTTTTCTTGAACACATTTCAGTGGTTAGAATATCAGACTGCACAAAAAGAAAAACCAGCAAGAAAATTTTGAGAACAACACACACACCAGAATAGAGGAAGAAGTTTTCTTTCTTTTATTATTCTCCACTTCACTAAAATACACAGCAATATATATATAAGAATTAGCAGTAATCTGTTACAACAGATTTGTTCCATATCTGCACTAACAGCAATTACTCCTACGAAATAGGCACTAACTATTGACCAAGCAATAATAAGAAAAAATAAATAAAAAAAATTTTAAAACAAGTTTAACTACTACAATCACCCCCTTAAACTTGTTTAACACCAATTCTATCTCTCAGCTCATTGAACCTCTGCCGTGCTAACGGCTTTGTTAACAAATCAGCAACCTGTACTTCAGTCTTTATATATTCAAGCTGTATATCTCCATGTTGAACACAATCACGAATAAAATGAAATCTTGTGTCAATATGCTTACTCCTATCATGAAAAACAGGATTATTGGCTAGTGATATAGCTGATTTGTTGTCTACCTTCAACACTGGTTTGATTTTATCATCACCTCTCAATTCTGCAATTATCTTTGTGAGCCATATCCCTTGACAAGCTCCACCTGTTGCTGCTATGTACTCGGCTTCACAAGAAGATAACGCAACAATTCTCTGCTTGTGTGAGATCCATGTGATTGGACTTTCTCCAAAGAAAAAAATAATCCCTGAAGTACTCTTCCTGTCATCCGTATCTCTTGCAAGGTCACTATCACTAAAGCCTACAAGTTCTTCTTTTTCTTGATTCTTTTTGTAGACAATTCCCATTCCAACTTTTTGTAGACAATTTCCCATTCCAATAGTGGGCCTATCAATACCTCAAAGTATCTGTTTCACAGCATTCAT